CCTCCTTATAAAATGGAGCCTGGACCTCCCCAGATGTCCAGGAGGGTGGGGTGGAAAAGAGACGGGGGCGTGCAGGAAAGGCAATGTCACCAGCTGTGGGAGAGTCTAGGTCTTAGCTTTGGTGCTGTTCATTAAGTGTCTTTGGGTTTGCAAGAATAATGGGTACACAGTTCCATCCCCAGATATTTCAGTTATTTTTCCCTTTCTCTAAGCACTTTCTCTCTGACACTGTTGCATAATTGTTGAGATAATGGATTCAGAAGCCCAACTGCGTGGATTCGGATACTACTCTGCCTCTGCCTTGGTTTGGCCCTATCTCAGTTGCGGCGGGAACATATGCTCCTCCCTGGGCATGGAGGGACACACGGAGCCACAGACTCTCACAGGTTCACTTGACAAGATGCCAGGCAGCCATTTCTGCAAAGCATTGTGCCCTTTTCTCAGCTCCCTGCAATAAGAAGGATGGGCACAAGTCCCCTCTGCGTTCAGATTCCCCAAACCTGTCTGGTTTCCTGTCATCCCTCAGCACCGCCAGCCCAGCCCAGGGACCCAGACCTTCCTCCAGGATCCTCCAGCATCCCAGCTCTCTTCCCTCCCCGCCTGACTTCCTCTGCTCTCCCAGGCTGGGGCCTGTTCGTTTGGGGGCTGGGCAGCCTAGTTTTGCACCTATCCTTCTAAGTCTGTTTCTTTATAGATTTGAAACTCTAAAAGCCAAGAATCTGACTGTCGTGTTCTCTGCATCCTACTGGGTCATCCCTTCTCTGAGGCAGTAGACATAGAACATGCCTGGGGGGCAAGGGGGCAGGGGGTACTAGGAAATCATGAAAATGAAAAAGCACTCAGGCTGAAATGTCAAATTACTATCCTGCCATCGACTCTGCCGATAACTTCAGTAAAAACAGAATTTATTGGAACAACGCTGGGGTATCTCACATGGTTGAGGGAGGAGCTGAGTGGCCAGGACTGGGTGGTAGTTTTGGGCTCTTGGTGAGGGCAGGCCATTCACATGGCTCAGTTCTCATGACTGTAAGTCTCTGAGATTCTCTTTTTTATCTCCCAGAGAGTCTTTGTTTGACTGAGCTTGGGTCTGGTGTCTCCCTGGATCCATCAGCTCTGGCCAGGGGACAGGCTCACTGGATTTGTTTAAGTAAAGCCAGTTGCTGTAACCAGCCTCTTTAATCAATGGCTTAATAAAAACGTTTATTTCTCGCTCATGCAAACTTTAGTGCAGGTGTTTCTGGTCGTTGGTCCCAGGTTTCTTTTCTCTTGTGGTGTCACCATCTGTAGTGCCTTAGGACCCTCTGTTGGAGACTCTGATGGGGGGGGAAGAGAGAAGAAGATCGTATGTGGAGATTTTTTTGTTTTTGTTTTTTCAATTGTGATAAAATACACATAATATGAAATTTACCATTGGAACCATTTTTAAGTGCATGGTTCAGTGGTATTAAGTACGTTCACATTGTTCTGCTACCATCACCACCATCCATCTCCAGAACTCTTTTTCATCTTGTTCGAGTGAAACTCTGTACTCATTAAACAGTAACTTTCCATTCTTCCCTCCCCCAGTCCCTGGCAACCACCGTTCTGCTTTCTGTCTCTATGAATTTGACTCTACTAGGTACCTCATATAAGTGGAATCATGCAGTATTTGTCCTTTTCTGACTGGCTTATATCACTTAGCATAATATCTTCGAGGTTCATCCATGTTGTAACGTGTCAGAACTTCTTGTTAAAGCTGGATAATATTCCATTGTATGTAATACCACACTTGGCTTATCCATTCATCCACTGATGGACACTTGGGTTGCTTCCACCTTTTGGCTATTGCAAATCATGCTTCTATGTACGTGGGTGTACAAATATCCCTAAGAAACCCTGCTTTCAATTTTGGGGGGGGGATATACCCAGAAGTGGAATTGCTGGATCATAGGGTAATTCTATTTTTAATTTTTTGAGGAACTGCCATACTGTTTTACATAGGGCCGCACCATTTTACATTCCCACTAACAGTGTACAAAGATTCCAATTTCTCCACATCTTTGCCAACACTTGTTATTTTGTTTTTTTAATTTTGTTTTGTTTTGTCATTTTTTCCCCCCCAAAGCCCCAGTAGATAGTTGTATGTCATAGCTGCACATCCTTCTAGTTGCTGTATGTGGGACACGGCCTCAGCATGGCCGGAGAAGCGGTGCGTTGGCGCCCACCCGGGATCCAAACCTGGGCCGCCAGCAGCGGAGCACACACACTTAACCGCTAAGCCACAGGGCCAGCCCAATTTTGTTCTGTTTTGGATGGTAGCTGTTTTAATGTGTGTGAGATGGCATGTGGGACGTTTTTATAGGATAGGCCTGGAAATGGCCGTCACTTCAGCTCATGTCCATTGGCCACTCTTAGTTACAAGGCTGCGAAATGGATTGAGCTATGTACCCAGGAGGAAGAGGTGAACGTGTAGCATTAACCACACTCAGAAACACACACCAGGTGGGCTTCCAGGAGCCCACCCCGTGCATTGGGACCAGTCCTGGACAAGGGGAGGTTGTTATGTGGCTTTTCCTCCTGAACCTCAGCATCCTTGCATGTCAACTGGATGAAATCATGCCTGCTTCAGTAGACCCACTCCAAGGGTCACACCAGAATGTACAGTCCATGAGGACAGGGCTTTGTATTGTTCACTACTGTATCCCCAGAGCCTGGAAGGGTGCTGGCACAGAGTAGGCCCGTGGTACTGAGGTACCCAACCTGAGGTGTGTGGGCAGGGGACTGGTTGTGCCTCATTATATTGTCTATACCTGTTTCTTTAGAAGCAACAAGTTTGCCCAGCAAAATAGTAAGTTCTTTGTGTACAGGGTCTTCTCTTGTCCCTTCCCGCAGCTTAATGGGAATTTTGTGCATAAAAGTGCAAAATACTATTGGGTGACCTGAATCGGGAGGTAGCCGGGTATAGCAGCTAGCACTGCCATCATATGGACCTCGGGCAGGTGTCTTTCTCACAGGGCCTCAGTCTTCTAGTCTGTGAAATACGGAGGGCTGGATCAGAGAACATCCTCCTGTAACCGTTTGCTGAGCAAGTGGGTGGATCCTTTGCCAACTGTGAGGTCTTGTGAATTAATGAGGTGTAGTGGCAGTCAGATTTGGTTCAAGCACCTGGAAGCATGTCTAGACTGAAGAGCTGGAGGCGGGAAGAGAGGACCATGATTGAGTTATCTCTGACGGACTTGAAAAAGGTAAAATAGAGTGGTTCTGAAGTAGAAG